ATTTATTTATTTATTTATTTATTTATTTATTTATTTATTTATTTATTTATTTATTTATTTATTTATTTATTTATTTATTTATTTATTTATTGCCAATCTGGTTGTAAGGAGTGACTCTAGATTATCTCAACCATACACTATATGGGGCAGTCTTGGAGACCATAAAATATTTCAACTAGTCCTGAATGTGGTAGCATGAGCAATTTTGGTGTCACATATTTTGCTTATGTTACACTGTTACTGGTTGAGCTGCACAGACTTGCACTTCTTTTCTTGTTTGCTGATTATCACCATCTTTCTGTGTTTTATTGACATTTTGCTCAATTTGTACAAAACTATATGAAACACTATATTTTGAACCAAATGAAGGTTCTGCATCCTTTTCAGGCACTTTCCTAAGCAGAATGCATTATAGTAGTCCAAATAAAATGAGACAATGGTCTGAGTGAGTGTAAGAAGAGTATGTTGGTCAGGAAAGTGCATATTTTTGTATACATCTCACTGATGTTCAAAGGCCCTTCTGACTTCAAAATCCATATGCTCCTCAAATATAAGTTGTAAGTCCAAGAGTAACCATTGATTACACCCACGGTAACTTTGCGCAGTGCAATCCCATCCACAAATATGGCAATTCTCCAAGAACCTGGGAACACCAAACTCAAATCCACTTTTTCTTGTAGGGTTAATTTTTAATCCCAGATTTTAATACTCTCTAGGCGCCAAGAATTCATTTTGGGCAGAGATATACAATTGAGGCCAAGGATCAGACCTCTTGTTCCTCATTAGCACCAACTGAAAATGGCTTTGAACAGAGAAAATACTTTGCCCCTCACTCCCAATTCCTGGAGCCATACAAGAAATATATCATTGTCATTGGTATCAAAGGCTGCACAGATGTTTAAGTAAAACAAATAGAGCTGCATTAGCTTCATTATGTTCTTACCAGAGGTCATCAAAAGGTACCACCAATGCCATTTCCATCCCATATCTGGGGCTAAATAATAACTGAAAGGGGTCCCAATATTCCATTCATCTAAGATCCTCTGAAACTACAGAGTGACCACTTTCTCAGCAAGGAAAGGGGAAGGTTGAAAACAGGCAACAAATTGTCCATTAGGGTAGAATTTATCAATGGAAGAAGGCAGTGAATAAAAGTCTCCTCTTTGGGAACATCCTGGTACCTCTTGTTCATGATCTGTGATGGAGTTGAAACAGAGAGTGTGCATCTGTGATAGTGGTCCTTGCCCTCTCAGTGGCCTTTGATAATATCAACCATATTATTCTTCTGAATTGACAGTGGGGCTATGGAATTGAGGTGAGCATTTATGGTAATTCTTGTCTTTTCTTTATGCTCATGTCCAGTCAGTGTTGGTGAGGGGGAAATAATTCATCACCTAAGCCCCTGTTGTGTGCAATACTACACGATTTGTTACTCTCCCCTCCATTGGTTAACAATCACATGAATCACTGGAGTTAATCCATCAGTTTGGGATTTTATATCATCACTCATCAATATTACACCCTCACACGTTTGAATTCCTATTGGCCAAGTGAGGCTGTTGAAGTCCTGTTTAAATGTCTGGACGTTTAGTAGACCTGATTGGGAAGGAATCAACTCAAGACTAATGATACACTGACTTGTGAGTTTGTATATTGAAACTCCACTGTGGATTCACAACTCCTGCTCCTGTTGGCACCTGGGGCCAAAGGGGGGTTACTATGCTCCACATGATGTGCCAGTTGCACACTTATTTTTAAAACAAGAAGTCCTTCAGATTACCACTCATGTTCTTAATATTTCAAGGTTTTCCTGTAAGCTGCCCTGAAATATTTAGTTAGTCTGCTGTAGAAATAAAATTACACCAGCAATTGCTACTACTCTATGAGGCCAGACAAAAAAAATATTTTTAAAATGAAGGTGAAAGTTACAAGTTTGGCCTAAATTTAGGATCAAGCACAAGATCTCAAAAATATGTCCTTCAATTTTTGATGACTAGCTGATAATCCAGTGTTGCCTGGGTATTTATTTATAGTGGGGGGGGGATGTCTGGACCAAACATACTTTCTAATGTTGGATTTCCCCCTTACCAGAGGGAGCCCCCTTGTGGAATACTGTGACGCCATTACCATGACAGTTTCACTGTGCTGTGCAGTAGAAGCCATTTTAAGGCAGAATAGTTATATTTTAACAGAACACAAACCCCGAGGGTTATTGTGGGTGTCTTACCCTCACAGTATTTTTTCCAGAGAATAAATTATCTGTGTACCAAGTTTGGTTGAAATTGCTCAAGGCGTTCCAGGGAAATGCGTTCCCTCCCTCCCTCTTTCTCTCTCTCTCTCTCTCTCTCTCTCT